TATTTGCTGTAATAGGGGCCTTGCACTAAAAGCTTCTTAAAGTTTCTTAAAGGCTCCTAGCTCTAGTATTCAACAGACGTTATACTGTATATTCTATCTTAATTATGTAAATAGGGCGAATTTTTAAATAAAAAAAAAAAATTTTTAAATAAAAAAAAAATTTTATACACTATATTTTAAATTACATGACGTACTGTCACCTTTTAAGAAATGAACCAGAATTTGAACTTCAAAAACAGAGCTTCAAAATATTATGGAAAATTCAAAATTTGGTCTAAAATTATGGCTAGTTTTGATCATACAAACTGCTCTATACTTCTTCGGAATATATATTTTCACACAGGGATTTTTATTAAATCGTATAGTCGTCCCAAAAAACAGTACATGCAATGACAGCATTGCAAAATCAACTATATTTCACACACGTGGAGTCGGTGATCTCAATATCGAGTCATGTTGGCGACCGGCGAGGTTTAAAAAAGCAATTCTAGTCGTAATCGATGCTTTGAGGTATGATTTTATGGTGTATAACGAGTCGCTGGAGGCGAGAAATGCGTTAAGTTTTCAAAATAAGCTCGGTGTAATTCATGAAGTTTTAAAAACGAAGCCGGATCATGGACGCATATTTCAGTTTGTGGCTGATCCACCCACAACGACGATGCAGAGGATAAAAGGACTTACAACAGGTAAGTTTAAGTTTTTCTAATTTTGTATCCCCCAATGGCATTTACTGGGAAGATGATTTTTGGAGTGGGGAGTGGGGACTACCACACAAGGGGGGGGCTTAAAATTTTCTGGGGCAGACATGCCCTCAGACCCCCTAGGGAGGTTAATGCCTTTGCCATGAACTTACTTGAACTCGACACCAGCCCCCCTCCCCAATTGTAAAATTGTTGTACGGTCCATGGGGGTGGGGGTGGGAGGGGGAGGGGTTACCAAACCAATGCCATCTTAACCCATTGCGCTGCATTGTATTATTTTACTCTGTCTAACTCCAGACAATTTTACTCATCAAGGAGAGTGTTTTTAATTAATGGGTAAATGATCGAGGTACTGCAAGTTTACTTGTAAAGTCTGTTCCAAAATCTGTTTATAATGCTGTGGAATACACTAATTTACATCAAATTAACTTTGTTAATGTTAGGCAGTTTACCAACGTTCATTGATGCAGGAAGTAATTTTGCCAGTTCTGAGATTCATGAAGATAACATTGTTGCTCAACTCAAAAGTTGTGGCAAGAAGATCATGTTCATGGGTGACGACACATGGATGGGATTATTTCCAAGTAAGGTTTAACCCATTGTAGCCTACTTTAAATTATTTTACTCTGTCTAAGACTCTGTATTTTTAGATTTATTTGAAAGATATTACCCATTTCCTTCGTTCAATGTGAAAGATCTACACACAGTCGACAATGGAGTGATATCTCATCTGATTCCTGAGATTCAGAGGTCTGATTGGGATGTGATCATTGCTCATTTTCTTGGAGTGGATCATTGTGGTCATAGATATGGACCTTATCATCCCGCTATGGCTGAGAAACTAACACAGATGGATCAAGTCTTAAGGTATAGCAGTAGAGACTTTATTTCATGATGTAATGTTCCTGCACTTCGGTATTGTTGAGCACTCCGCGGAGATGTTAATGTGTGTCTATTAGCGAGGGTCATGGTATTGTTACTCTATTATGTTTGCCCCACTTGGAAAAATAGCATTCCAAACCTCGATAATTGTCTACGTTAAGTTGAATGAGTCAGTGAGTTATATATCCACTTTCTTTAAGGTCTGTGGTGGATGTTCTGGACAATGATACCATACTGATGGTATTTGGTGATCATGGTATGACAAAGTCTGGCGATCATGGTGGTGACAGTGAAGACGAAGTGCATGCTGGACTGTTTGTTTATAGTCCTACAACACTTTTCTCATATGCACAGGTAATTACATCATGCTAACTGCTGCATTTATTAATTACTGTAGCTGTTTTATTTTTTTCAAACTTATCTTTGTTTTTCAGCTTGAAGCCGACCAAGTGGTTTCTCAAACCGACATTGTACCAACATTATCTTTATTACTTGGGCTACCTATTCCGTTCTCCAATCTCGGAATAATAATGCCAAGTCTCTTTGAAAATTCAGCGTTACAAAACTTCCCCGAAAATACATCACTATTACACGCTCTCCAACTTAATGCTCGACAAGTGAATCGATACATCACGGAATACACCCAGCTATCTAACGATATTTCTTCCGATGTCTTGGACACAATCACAAGTCCCTTGTTCAAGCGCGATGCCGGTTTTTCTCGTGATAAAAATAATCATACGATAAATTATAATGATATTTTTCAAGAAAAAACTGCTTACCTTGCTTATTTAAAGAAAATAAGGGAACTATGTCGCACCGTTTGGGCGAAATTTGACATCCTTGCGATCCAAAGTGGAATTTTTATTGTCACCTTGTCTTCGTTTATAAGTTTACTAATAATATGGATTTTAGTCCCCAAACTGTTCTTAGATAAACACCAGTCTCGAAAGCTTTACAAGTACGGTATGTTAGCTGCATTGATAGTCCTTTTTCCTGGATTCTTGCTGTTTTACGGAAACGTTTGGCTGTTTGTATTGGTATTTCTTCTATACGGAATCGCTGGTTTTGTTCTGAAGTTGCATACAAATATTTTTGGTTATATAAAACATAATTTTGTTGGCGTAAACTTCAAGAGTGTTGTAATGATGTTTCTACTTTTTATTCAATTCGCTGGGTTCTTTTCAAACAGTTATGTCATAAACGAAGACAAGATTCTTGTATTTTTCCTACAAACAATAATTGTGGTTTTAGCTGTTAATATTTTAACCAGCACTGTTGCCTCTGTGAAGTTCTTGGAATTCGAAAATTCTAAAGGCTTTATTAAGACACAGAAACGAAAAGACACGAAAAAGCGAGGAGTTATTCGGTCAGTTTTAGGACAGATAAAACACGAGTTAGCTTGTCTAGTTTTGCTAATGGTTTTATTTCGTCTGGGGTCGTTATTTTGGCCTTGCCGCGAAGAGCAAGCCGCTTGCGAATCGACAGAATTCTTTACTGGCTCTGAACAAAATGGCTACCAATTTTGGATGGGGTCTGTGTTTTTATTACTCGTTCCAGCTTCGCTATTATTTCGCCTTCGAGCGAGTGGAAATTTGAACGGATATTCGAGTCCAGTCCTCGCTGTCAAATACGCGCTACCGTTTGGCGCGGTTTTCGCGTGCGTTCATTGGCTACTTCAATACGTTCCCGCGAAAATGGTGGAGCAAAATCCTGCGGTTGGGTATCTTCAACAAATTGTCACTCCGTGTATTCTCTATTGCTCTTGCTTGGGCAGCCTGTGCTGTTTACTCTACCAACCAATTACCGCGTTCGTGGTCAGGCCACGTGATGTGGAAGATGAACCTGCGATATTAACTGGTCAGCGGTCGATGAGAAATGCCGTAGTACGGATTTTTAAGAAGTTGAGGTCTGAACTAAGTGAAGCGGACAATAATGATGATGTAACGTATGTGTATGGCTTAGGTACAGTGTATTCGTCAGCAGTATTGATACTATTGGTTTGTTTCGCGTTGCCCATGGCTCTCATTCTTGGCGAGGGCCTGGGACCGAGCGTGATGTCGATGATGGCGCAGATGTATTTGTTCCTAGAGTTTGACAGAATGATGACATCACAGGAAGCAGTCGATGTAAAAATATCTTTAGGTATGTAGGCATCCTATAATGACTGTCGTAACCTGGGCCAATTAGAGATGGCTCTTACTGGACCTCTGCGGAAAGCAGTTTAGAGTTGTGGAGCTCTCTCGTACAAATATAGTTTAGCTTTCCTGGACGGAAAAGAAAACAGTTTAGAACTGATAGTCAAGAGCTATCCGGTATAAGTAATGTTAGTTTGCTTAAGATTCCCCCTGTAGTAACACTAGACAATTAATGGACTATGATTCTTGTTGGACCTCTAGGTAGAGAAATCTATAACCAACAGAATCTGTACAGTATAAATGTTAGTATAGTTTACTTTAGATCAAAATCCCAGATGCCATGTTTTTTACCTATATAGCAAACAAGCTCTTGTCATTTTCTGCTCTGTTTTCCGTAGAATTTGTTTTCAAAGTCTGCTATTTTTTAGATTCATTGTTGTTTCCAATAATAACATGGAGCATGATGTCTTCTCACAATTTCTATTCCTCCGGGCATCAAGCGACCATTCCTTCAATCAGATTTGAAGCAGCGTTTGTCGGTCTTCCTGGAGATATGGAAAGTTTTTATTTACCAGGTTTAGTATCGCTTTCTTTGTGCGTGTAATGTACCTATGGCCTTATCATAAATTGCTGAGTATGTTTTAAAACGCTGAGTATGTTGCTTGCATATTTTTAGGTTTTTTAATCTTACTCAATACATTCGCATCAGATGTCATATTCACCATCGCTTTGCCACTCTTTGTATTCTGGAGAAAGCAAACCTCGAGCAGTGAAACCGCTAATGAAAAGAACCGCAATCCCACTGGTGAATTCGTGTACCACGAAAATCCGACGACGTTACGTTCCGACATTTTCCGAGTCTGCGTACTGTATCAACTGTGTAAAGGCTTGAAGGTGAGTTGAATATGTGGACCAAATAATTCAGAATGTTATAGTGCTTCTAAATTTGTTATAGTGCAAAGTTATCGGTCAGTGAAAATCGAAAACTTGCGCCGCGTTGTCGAATCGCGTTCGCTATGTCTCGGCCTTTAGTGCCTATTCCTATGAGCCCATGCAGATAACCGAAAAACTCAGCTTCAACTGAGCGAGATCCGCATCCGTTGTCTTTGTCTGTAAATAACATTTGTCAGTAAATAACTTTGTCTTGCTTGTCGTATGGGTATGGTATGGTATGGTATGGTAATGTAATTTTTTGTGGCCAAGCAAATAAATTAAATTAAAATCAAAACAAAACAACAAGACAAGATTCACGCGGTAATTTTTCGATCTTATTTTATAATCATCAAACCTACTGGAATTACAAAACAAGATTATATCTATCAGCAATCCAAGAGCGATTACATCAATGAACAAACAGAAATATTACTAGATAGTGTCCGCGCTTAATCAAGGTACTAATGGTCCAAAAAATACTTTCGAGAGTTCGTTTTCTTCGAATCCATGAAAATATTCGAACGATGCGTTGAGGAATTCTTCGCGACTTATTTCACTATCATGATTGACATCGATCAAATTGAAAGACTTCACTTTGTCTTCATCAGAAATATCAGGAGCAAGTGCTTGCAGGTAGGTTTTGTATTCCTCCAAGGAAATGTGGCCATCGCGGTTTACGTCGACCGCGTCAAACACAGCGTTGTGAAAATTATCACACATTGCTCTTTGTTCTTCCCAAGGCTTTTTCAACATGACTTCACTTCCGAACTTAATTGCCTCTTCTTTAGCAATTCTAACTCCCGGTGTATACCCAAAAGTGTCGGCGACATGCATAAATGCGTTGTGGCATGCTTCAGCTTGTTCGTCAGTGGCGTTGCTCAATTCATTCATTCTCTTTGCTATAAGTTCGAAATCCATTCTCGACATGTATCCATCTTTGTCAACATCCAAACGATCGAAATTTGTCTTTATCTTCCGTAAGCGAAAAGCAATCTGAGAGTCGGTTGGATTCATCATGGTTTGCCGTCAGAGTCTCAAACGTAAACTATGAAGAATTTCCACACGGTTGGTGCAATCAAAAGATATGAAAATAGCTATTTATCGTGGCTATTGAATTCCCCGCATTCTGATAGGTTGAAATAGAGCGTCTCTGACGTTTAATATAGACACGGTCTACTGCGTACGAACTGTACGAATACGGTTATTTTTGTCATGATTCCAATTACAATACAATCCCCATAAACCTTAAGGGCCTGTTCACTCGAATTGAGATCTTCATGCCCTTTGTTAGTTTTGGTAATCATGCGATGTTGCTCGTACAATTAGGGATTAATAGTACGAGTGATGTTTGGAAATTTTTCCAAAATTGGACGAGCCGCCGGGGCGAGTCCAATTTGGCAAATTTCCAAACATCACGAGTGTGTCATCATATTTTCCAAACATCAATGTGTCATCATATTCGCTCGCCAAAGCCCAGTCCCGCCAGACATTCAACCAAAATTTGGTGCTTTTGTTTGTATTTTCATTTAATTCTTTTGTTAAAGCAAAATTTGGTGCTTTTGTTCGTATTTTCATCTAGTTCCCTCCACTGCAATTTCATTTCGCAATTGTGTTTAAAATACTTTCCGCCATTTTGTTTGTTTTGGGAAAATCATTAATTGTACCGCAGTACAATTAATGAAATAATTGTACTCCTCTCAACCAATCAGCATCCAGTAATTTTGTCATGCTAATAATAAACGCATATAAAATTGATTTGTGTTCATATGAAAAACGAGCCCGGGCTAGGTGAGGTCTCACCTTGCGCTATAGGAGCCTAGGTGGCATCTCAGTCAAATGGGATAAAATTTTCCATATGAAGGCTTTTTATTCCACCTGACCGGGATGCTCACTAGTGCTTTCATCAAATATCTTAATTGCGCAGGCAAAATTACTTGAATAGAATTCCTAATTACGTTATGCTTGGTCAAGAATTCTATTCAAATCAGCAAACGAAAACATTCTGTGACGTCTCGATTCATTTGAGAAGCCATATAAACAACTCGAGCTCGTGTCTCACCGGGATATATCCAGACACTCGAAAACAAAGTATGAAAACACTCGCTCTCGTTGTTCATATATTACATCAATAGACCTATAAACAGACAGTATTAAAGTCGTACTACAAGGTGCAGCTTGTTTAATTACAACAAAAAATATCTCGAAGACGCTATGTTAACCAAGCCTGAAAATAAGCGGCCGGTCACGGACATTGTTCGGTACGAAAAGGTAATTTTCCGACACAACTGTTTTTTTGCCAGACGTTTTGTCCGGTGTCCCAGGATTTTCGCCCCCCCTACATTTTCGCCCCCCGGGGGGCGAATTTCCTAGGAATATCGCCCCCCCAGGGGGGCG